ATATATTATGATATGTCATTATCATTTGTTCGGAACCGATTTCCAGTCTACTTTGATTCCACATCACTCGCGCTCAGATTGGTGATCAGAAACATGTTGTACTTAATTGGGTGTAGACTGAATGTAGATCAGTTAGACATATGGCATATTTTTTTGATGCAAATAGTACTACTGATTCTTAGTAGCTCATAGTGTCCCATAGTTCATAGTTCTTTGTTTGTGATGACCCGATGTCTGGACACCCTAAACTGTTATGCCGACGGAAGTCCGAGTAAGGGCTAGAAAAATGAAATAGCCCGCAATGACCCCAGGACTGAGAGTAGTGGGTATTTGGCCAAAAAGCTAATAAATACCATACTTTTACGTAGCCGCAATGACCCATCTATTTGAAATTTTGGTTAGATTTAATTCTCCAACCGTCGCACCGTTGTTCATATATTTTTGAGTTCTTGATACGAGCTCATTTGTATGTTTCAAATCGTTGGTCACCAATGTGGAAATGATTTAGTTAGTAATGTCCAACTTTATAAAAATGTATAAAAAAATATTTGTTTACAAAAATATATATTATGGCGTGTAATAATCATTTGTTCGGATCGGATCCAGTTTAATTTGACCTCACACTTATATATTTATCTGTTGTTAAGACTACGGGCTCCCAATTTGTACCTCAAAAAGAAGCAATAGTTCAAATTTGATTTCAAATTTGACATTCAAATTCTGTATTATTCTATATACTCGTATGTCTGGTAAAATGAGCATATTTATCTGCTTCTAATCCCCACAAGTAGTTACAGGTGTTTCTAGAGGTCGAGTAATGTTGCTAGGGTGATCTAATCTTACTGAGAAAGCAATCGCTCCCAAAGAATAGACCTTTAAATCCCCACTCGTCACAATATTAATATGAATACCACCAATTCCAATGTACTAATTTAAAAATCTATCTATGAACAAAGATTTGAAATATTAATAAAAAGGTGATATTTTCAGAATATAAACCTGCCTCCAAGCAAATCATCAATAATATTATTATTACCACTGATTAAAACTGATATTATCCTATGATAAATGACATTTGGTATTTAAATATAATTTGGCTCTGGCATATGTAAATTTGCATGTACAGAACTCGCGTCGTAATGAGCTTCTTCGCGGTTGATCATCCACGGTCGTTAAACTTCTCTCATTCGGTCTCAGTTGTAAATACAAGATGCAAAATCACATTACACATAAAGCCAATTGCGAACCGTTATGTAATAAAAAAAACAAGAATTGATACACACGATTTTGAGTTGAAACACATACACACTCATTGGAATATATAATTTTTTTGAATATTTAGTTGCAGACAAATAATCGAAATAAACAACAGCAAACAATTTTTCTATAAATATTGTACGTTTCGACACTGTACACTGTAAATAAAATTTTATTAAAAAAGTAAATTGAATTTCTTAGAAATATTTTATAATTTTTTTAACTACAATTATACAGTACATGTGAAAAAATTGAATTGGTTTTTAACGGAGTTTATCGAAATCAAAAATTTCGCTTGCTACGTAATAAATTTCTGAATTGTTTATAGTTTCAGTAATTATCGATCGTGAGCATTAAGATTATATTTTTAATCAAAAGTAAAAGTAATAATAAATATTGATTTTTCTATTAATTTTATATAGAAAATAATACTATATTATGTGCAGGCTTATTACAGATTTTTCACTTGCAGAAATGTTTAATAAAAGATGGAAGTAAGAATATGCTGATAATCGTTCTCTATATTTAATTAAAATCCTCATGATAAATTTTCTATAATACACTTATTCGCATCTTGGTGAATAAATCAATTTTACGTAAAAATACGAGCAGAAAAATAAATTAGTAGCATTTTCTTTGGAAATTTGGATGATGTGGATGATCCTTATCCGAGTATGTGTAAATTGGTTCCAATATGACTTTATATAATAGTAACTTATTACGGACGGAAACATTTCACAATTAGAATGTTATTCTACCTATTACCCTGCTTTTGAAAACTGTTTATATATCCCTCATCCAGGGATCGCTTCTTCGTATCAAATTTATCCAAGCGCTACATAGACGCAATTACCACCTTGACATCTGGGCAAATGGTGAACTGTTTACAAGTGACTTGATTCTCACTATATGGAAATTCAATACAAACATGTCCTCTAAACTTTATGTTGAACTATATGATGCCAAATTCAATTTTCCTACACTCGCTACTAGTTGAAGCTAACGATGTGATTCGGTTATATTGCGTTTGTGTACGGAAGAACCGTTTCCACGGTAAAAGTTTCATTGCTAAATATGAATAAATAATTAGTTATTGCACTTTGTTGTAATATGCACAAACTTAAAAAGTATAATGAAATAAATAAATAAATAAATAATGCACTTGCAGCTACGACGATTTTTAAAAAGTTAGCCTTAAACTCAGTGTTGCTTGTTTTCATTTTTTCGTGTATTTTGCGAGAAATGCCTCCAGAAACACACAGGACCTAAAATTTCGTACAAGCTCCCTAGACACAAAGTGTAGGCACAAAGGTTCAATTTGAGTTTGGGCAGTTATACTGTGACAATCGTACCAATCATATCACAACAAATACCACAATTAAACAAATAAGTATCTGTCTATGTCCAGTAAAACTCCTTGCTAATTCATCATTGTCTGGTTCTTTTACCCAATGGGTCAAAATAGCCAAAATTGGTCAGACCAAATATGTATTATTAGAATATTGAGAAAAACTTGCATAAGAATATATATTTCTCATGGTTAAATTAAAATTATTATTTCTTTGATTAGAACAAAAACTAAAATAGTAAATGAAAGTGACCGCAAGATATTTTAAACCATATCATTAACATGTCCCTTGAAAGCTTATCTATTTATATTAGTGATTGTAATTAATTGCCTCTACACTATCAAAGTATCACCTCTAAGTGCATTTACAAGCATTCAGTACCGTTAAGCCAAAGCCAAAGGTACAGTAGCTAAACATCAACTTTCTAAACTTGTCTAATAAAATGAGTCGATACAAGATACAACGGTTGTTTTCTATAGATTGTCGGAGTATATAGTTACATACTGCCCAGGGGAATAATATATATATATATATATATATATATATATATATATATATATATATATATATATATATATATATATATATATATATAAATTAAGTTCTTGCAACCCAGTGTTACGGCCGCTATATAAGTTATGAACAATTCTGAAAATGTTTTACAACAATATTTTTTGTAACCAGATTACTAACTTTGTCTAGTCTACATTAACAGAGAAGAAAATTGAACAATCATTTTGAAGAAATAAATTAACCATTAGCAAGTACCTCCCGATTCAATTTCATACTTGACATAGATTTTCTGCAATATAGATATTTACTTCAATCACTACAAGCAAATATCGCTGCAAATATATTATTTGGTAAAAAGTTCTTAACCAGAAAAGAAATGTGACGACATGTCATAGAATTTTATATTATTAAATAGATGCATTGTAAAACTTGTTAATCTTAATAATATTTGAACATCTACGATCGACTCTATAAAATTAAAATGGATCTTATATAAAACTATATGTTTTTCAATCAATACGAATTTTAAACAAATTAATTTTCTACGTTTCAATAAAATAAGTCAGCTAACTATTAAAACTATATAAGTAAGTTATATAGTTTAAATAGTTAAGAAAAAAAAAGAAATGGAAAACGAAAAATATCACTAACATTTCTTCAGATGATTCTTTCGCATATTATAAAGTTAAAATTTCATTAACATTTATAATTAGTTTTTCATATTTTGAAACATATTTTCCACCGCAAATTATTGTAGGATTTTTATGTTTAAATGAATGAAATTGTATAATTAAAGTATATGAAATATATTTATGTTTAAAAGTAACAATACTTCATTAAGATTGTGTGATATTTAGTTCATATTAAACGTAATATTTCATAATACAAAAAACTTCTAGAAAAGTGACTTGTTTTTGATAATAACAATTAACTTTAATATTTAAATACACATGTTATTGCAAAGAGTAATTTTATTTAGTAATATTCAGTGTCATCCTGAGGAATTAATTTCATATTATGAATTAAAAATGTTAATTCTTTTGTAAGTCATTTGATAGACTTGAACTACAATTTTAGATCTCTACGCTAAAGTCACCATTGCAAAAAAAAAATACTTTCTCTGTTTCGTAGGGCATCTCTACTCGCTTAAAACCTATCTACGATGAAAGCCTTCATTGTTCTTTATAATCAATATTGTATTTATTTATTTATTTCATTAATATTAATATTCATTATATAAAATTATTGCTAATAACCATCTGTGTACCTATACTACCAATTTACATCTCTACTACAAAGTAAACCTAGTAAAAAAAAAAGTTTTATAGAGCATCTTTTTTCGCAGATCAGCCTTCGATAAAAGCTATCATTACTTTAAAATCTATATTAAATTTATTTATTTATTTTACTAACATTAATAATTATTATATAGTAATCTAAATCAAAGTCAACTTTTAGAAAAAGAAAACACTCTCTATTTTGAAAGGCTTTCCTTCTTCAAAGCTTGTGTCTTTGATAAAAACACTTGTTATTGTAGTCCCCTGAAATCATTAATTTAGTGTGCTATTTCCAAACTAGTTTTACATCAAAATTGTTATTTATAGAGAAATATCTGTTGCACTTCAAATCGCACCCCAAAAATATTTTGTCAAAAATCAACCACTATTTTATCCAAAACAAACAATTTATTCCTGCCTCACTTTCGTTCGGGATGCCAATCAGAATGAGACGCATTCATAAAAGTCTCTATATTCCGTATAGCGTTAGCTCTCTCACCAGGCAAAGAGTATTTCCAGCGCACGGAACGCTTCCGACGGCCTCTCTGGAAGGGGAAATCGCACGTTCAAACCGTGGAGAGTCGCATATCTCAACTGGCTGTTGTCGAGAATGGTTGTATGTTGATTTTCCACATAAAAAATTAATAATATTACGCATTTCAATTAAAAAACGTGATTTTTACCCGACGCGAGTGTGCCATAATCTGTGCTCAATGTAAAGAAATACATGCAGGGATTTATATAAAACAGTGTGATTTAAACAATATTAACAACAAATTTTCAGTGTGGTGTGTGATTGTGGTTTCTGTAGTTTTTAACAAATTCTTTTGTGTTGTGTAAAAATTATATAGTTGTATATTTATTGGATTATATCGGTTATGAAAATGACCGCTAGTACCTAATAAATTTCGAAGGAAGAACACCTGCTTGTATTTCGATTTGGATTCGTGCGTCGCTCGGCGACTCTTCAGGCGTCTACGATGCAGCTACGGGCCAGGAGCTGGCTGCGATGCAGTTTTTTCACAATATGTAAGTCTACTTAAAAATATCTCAAATACATTCTATTTATTTGTTACTAAGGTCCTCAACAAATGTCAACGACCACGCATTGTTCGACATATTTACTATACTCTATAAAATTATTCAGTTCTCTACATGTTTAAAAAATTTATTTAAATTGATTATTCAAGTTTTACCATTATATTTAGAACTCATTAACATAATATGTATTAATAATATTATATTTGAAGGCCTATTTACTTACTTCAGTTTCTTTATAAATTATTATGTTGCTCTATAAAAATATTTCAAACCAACGTTTTAACCGTTCATTGCTCAACAAATCAATATAGGCATCTTAACGTTAATTAATAAAACAAATATGATAAAAAAAGAATTTTATATAATTTTTTTTAATAAAAAACATCCAAAATAAGCATAATTGAATCAACCGGTATCAACTCTATCTTCTATTATTTTAGCTCTATAAAATATTTCAAACGAACTTCTTAACTGTTTATTGCTCAACAAATCAATATAGACATCTTAACGTTAATTAATATAACAAATATGATAAAAAAATAATTTTATATAATATTTTTTTAATAAAAAACATCCAAAATAAACATATAATTGTATCAACCGGTATCAACTCTATAATCTATTATTTAAGCTTTATAAAAGTATTTCAAACCGACGTTTTAACTGTTTATTAGTCAGCAAATCAATATAGACATTTTAGCGTTAATTAATATAACAAATATGATAAAAAAATATTTCTTTAATAAAAAAACATCCAAAATAAGCATAATTGTATCAACCGGTTAAACTTTGATTTGTAAGTCGCAGACACATTTTATTTAATTTATTACGGCCTTTATTTCTTTATATTTCTTTTATTTTATCATTAACTTAACTTGAGCATACACTTTATCTCTAAATCGATTGCAATTCAAATTTTTCTCCCTTTGGCACAAGTTTATTTAAAAATCTATTTAAAACGCGACACTATTCGTGAGATAAATGTACCTGTCATTTTAAATAGAACGAACTTTTCGTTCAGGTATATAGAATTTTATACAAACTATAAATATGTGTTCAGTGACATTATTTCCAAATACTTTCCCATACTTTGGCAATATAACTTAGCGATTCTTTCAAATTCTTAATTGCCTGAAATCGCAAGCAATTATTATTAATTAATAACAAGGACCATATATTGAACGATAATTATTATTAAATCTTTTGACTGTCAAAATCATTAATCAGTTTTTAACATCATTGTTTAATAACAAAATCGATAGTTTCGAGTTTGATTATTTATATTTTAATTCTTACCGGATGTGTTTGAAGAAATCAAAGCAAATCTTAAGCGTGAGAAATTGAGAAACCAAAGCCAATATTATTAAGAATAAATATTTTGGGTAATAATTAGCTATCGACTATTATTATCTACGTCTTCGTAAACTGTTTTGTCAAACAACATTTTTGGATTTAGTCTCATGGTTATATTTGAGAAAATTCTTTACTCTTTTATAAATTCAATTTGAGAATATACCTTGTTTAATTATTAGATTTCAGTTAAAATCATCCACTCGTCAATAAAAAATTATTATAAATCTAAATCTAGCATACAAAATAACCAAAACAATAGTATTTTAATTATTATTAGTATATATCAAATATATATTTATAATTGAGACAATTCTTTACTCTGTTATAAATTCATTTTGAGAAAATACCTTGTCTAATTATTGGATTTCAGTTAAAATCATCCACCCATCAATAAAAATTTATTATAAATTTAAATCTAGCATATAAAATGACCAAAACAATAGTATTTTGATTATTATTGGTATATATCAAATATATATTTATAATTGAGACAATTCTTCACTCTATTATAAATTTAATTTGAAAATATACCTTGTCTAATTATTAGATTTCAGTTAAAATCATCCACTCGTGAATAAAAAATTATTATAAATCTAAATCTAGCATATAAAACAACCAAAACAATAGAATTTTGATTATTATTAGTATATATCAACTATATTTTTTATTTGAGACAATTCTTCACTCTATTATAAATTTAATTTGAGAATATACTCTATTTAAATAGCAGATATCAGTCTTCCACTCTTCAAAAAAAATTTATTTAAAAATCTAAATCTAATACACAAAATAACCATAAATAACTAATAAATTAATAGTATTTTAACTACTATTAGTATACATAAATTATGTATTTATATTTGAAATAAATTAATACTCTATTATAAATTTAATTTGAAAATATACTCAGTTTCAATATATTCAATTTCGTTAAAATCCTCCACTCTTCAATGAAAGTTAATTAAAAATCTAAAACGAGCATATAAAGTATCAAAAATACTAAAATTTGATTATTAATAATATATATTAATTATATATTTATATTTGATAATTCTTTACACTATTATAAATTTAATTTTAAAACCTGTTAAAATCTTCCTTTTTTCAATAAAAATGTATTTAAAAATCTAAATCAAGTATATATAATAATACATAAATAGTAGTATTTTAATTATTATTATTATTAGTATATATCAATTATATTATACGTATAATTATATACTTATATTTGACACAATTGTTTACTTTATTTAAATTTATAGAGTAAAGTAATTTTGGATATTAGTTAAAATTTATTTTAAAAACTAGCATACAAAATAACCAAAAAATAGTATTTTTGTTTTTATTGTGCGTTCGTTATTATTATAATATATATTTTATTAAATTAATTTTATTAATTTAGACAATTTGTCCCTTTTCGGCCGACTATTGTAAATTCATCAAATTTATTGAATGTCCTTTACTGGACAGTTGTAAATAAAAGAGATAATAAAAAAAATAGACTATTTAATATAGTCATTTTTAAAAATTCTTGTAATATTACTATATCTGATATTGATATAAATGGAAATATCAAAAATATTTTTCAAAATAATTTGGCAAGCTTAATAATAAAAACTATGTAGTGTTATTGATCTTCATATATTATTTCTCTCAAATCCCTAGTATCTTGATTCCTCCTGATTGCATTCGAAGAAACCTTTCAGAAGCAATTTTAAGCGTGTTCAACGTTTGAAAAAGCGCGGGTTTCTTCTTAGCGTCTTTTTTTCATCGTTACCAAACAAAATTTACACGCACACACGCGTGTTCATACATACGGGCGGCTCAGGTATGCGTTGATACCTGTGCGAGCCGATCCCAAAGAAACTGGTTGTGTTGTGCTGTCGAACGGCCGAGCCAGAGGTAGAGGTAGAGGTAAAACTGACAACACAGCGCGCTATTTGAACCGTCGAACGAACGCAACAGCGGACTTGCTTAAGATTTCTGGTACATTCATCTCGGGAATTTAGGTAGAATTAAAAGTTTTAGATAGGAGAAAGATTTATATGTATGTGGCGGATGGTAAATCGATTCAGCTCAACCTTCGGATTCTAAAGTAAGCCTTGAAAATCTAGCTATTTTGAACTTTATCTAGAGCACGACTAAAAACACTATATGATGATACAAAATTACTTAAGTGTACTTAGTACGGCATGTTTACGTTTCCAAGTCAATTTACTGAATTATAAAAAAAATATTGGCATCATTAGTATTAAATTTTATTAGTTTCACAAATGTATCATTTGTATATTTAAAAGACTCTAATAATCGGGCAGAACACCAATAAAAACATGCATTTTATAAAAAATGCTTAAATTTTTACCTTTCTAGCCTTCATTCAGTGAAAACTAAAAATGTTTAACAAAATGTGTGTATAAATGCATAACAGAACCCAGTAATCAGTCTAATAACATCAATAAAAATATGATTTTTTTAAATTATTCTAAAATCCATACATTTTGGCTATCGTTCTAACATATTTACATTTCCATGTCAATTTAGTAAATTATAAAAAAAAATATTAGTATCACAAACGTATTATTTGTATATATAGAATGAGTCTAATATAATCGGGCATAACACCAATAAAAAAACATGCATTTTTTTAAAAAAAATCTGAAATCTATACCTTTCGGCTGCAGTTCTAGCCTTCACTCAGTGAAAATTAAAAATGTATTACAAAATGTGTGTATAAATGCTTAATAGAACCCAATAATCCGTCTAATAACACCAATAAAAATATGATTTTTGTTAAACTTTATTCTAACATCTATACTTTTCGGCTATAGTCTTAGCTTTTATTCCTTAATTCAGTAAAAACTAAAACTAATATATGTATAACAATATTTTACATACATATATATTAGGTTGTCAAACATCTCCCTTCCGCTTTTTTGCTCTTGGTTTATAATATAAAAAGGCGGAAGGGAGATATTTGACAACCTACGTATATTTTTTATATGTTATTATTCGTATTATTCGTATTATTCTTATATTGTTATTATTCGTATATATATAAGTTATTTATACTATAGAAATATTTGTTTATTTATTATAATTATTAAGGATATAGAGTTTCGATCTGTTTGAATATTATAATCCCTCAAGTTCGTTTTAATATCTTGCAAACCTAAGCTTCCAAATACTAAATCTTTTTATATCAAAATATGTATATAAACATAAAATATATTTATGGTAGAGCAGGGCACAAAGGTCCAACTTGACTTTGAACAATTATATTGTGAAAACCAAACCAATTATTATCACAACATATCAAACAAACAAACAACTATTTGACTATGCTCAGTAAAACTCCCTGCTAATTCATAATTCTGGAAATGTGTGTTTATCACAGTTTTCCAACAAATTATATTGAGGTATTGTAAACTAAACAATAGTGCTCACAACCAAAAAACTAACAATGAAGAAATCACATTTTTAAACATTGCCGTTTATATCCCGATTGAAAAAGTAATACAATTAAGATATTGATAGTATCTCACACTATTCAAAATTACTTATTAGAATAAATTTTACATGCTTTATATTTAATATTTATTATTATGTCTATTTATTATTATTCATTTAGATTTAAA